TGCATAAATCATAAGACGGGAACAAAATTGGAACTTGATCTGTAACTTGTCATGATAAAACTATATATCAATTATCAAATCAATATTTTCAAGCATGACAAAAAAAAATGTGCGGAAAACTGATTATTTGAGTGAATTTTCTAAGTCCAAGGACCATAACTCTGCACAAAATCATCAGACCGGAACAAAATTCGAACTTGATCTGTAACTTGTCATGATAAAACAATACATCAAATATCAAATCAATATCTTTAAGCACGAAGAAAATAAAATGCTTCGCTGGGCGCAGCTTGATACGACCGCAGAGGTCGAACCCTGAACAGTTGGGGCAAGTATGGACACAACATTCAAGCTTGATACAGCTCTGAATTTGGATTGTGATTAAATATTTGACACAGCATAGGTTTCTGACACAGAAAGAATGTGGTCTAAGAACTTCAATTTTTTTAATTTACCTATTATGGTCCAATGTCCAAAATCAAAATACATGGTTAGATTCAGCATATCAAAGAACCCCATATATTCAATTTTTGTTGAAATCAAACAAAGTTTAATTTTGGACCCCAACTTGGACAAACTTGAAAGCTGGTCCCATAATCAAAAATCTAAACACATGTTTAGATTCAGCATATCAAAGTACCCGAAGAATTCAATTTTTGTTAAAATCAAACTAAGTTTAATTTTGGACCCTTTGGACCTTAATGTAGACAAATTTAAAAAACGGGACCATAAATTAAAAATCTAAAAACACAGTTAGATTTGGCATATCAAAGAACCCCAATAATTTAATTTTTGATGAAATCAAATAAAGTTTAATTTTGGACCCTTTTGACCTCAATATGAACCAATTTGATAGCGGGCCCACAAATAAAAAATCTAAATACATGGTAAGATTCAGCATACCAAAGAACCCCATATATTCAATTTTTGTTGAAATCAAACAAAGTTTAATTTTGGACCCCAATTTGGACCAACTTGAAAACTGGGCCAAAAATCTAAAATCTAAATACATGTTTAGATTCAGCATATCAAAGAACCCCATATATTCAATTTTTGTTGAAATCAAACAAAGTTTAATTTTGGACCCCAACTTGGACCAACTTGAAAACTGGGCCCATAATAAAAAATCTAAACACATGTTTAGATTCAGCATATCAAAGAACCCTAAGAATTCAATTTTTGTTAAAATCAAACTAAGTTTAATTTTGGACCCTTTGGACCTTAATGTAGACAAATTTAAAAAACGGGACCCAAAATTAAAAATCTAAATACACGGTTAGATTCGGCATATCAAAGAACCCCAATAATTCAATTTTTGATGAAATCAAACAAAGTTTAATTTTGGACCCTTTGGACCTCAATGTGGACCAATTTAAAAATGGGGCCCAAAATCCAAAAACTTAATACACGGTTAGATTCAGCATATTAAAGAACCCCAAGAATTCAAGAATAAAACCCCATTGAAATTGATCAAGAAATAAGCAATTTATACGAAGTATCTTCTTTTGCACAATACTGTGCAATTGAATATTTCTTGCTATTGCGCAATACTGTACAATTGACAATTTCTTGCTATTGCGCAATATTGTGCTATTGGATATTTCTTGCTATTGCGCAATACTGTTAAATTGAAGATTTCTTGCTATTGCGCAATACTGTGCAATTGAAGATTTCTTGCTATTGTGCAATACTGTGCAATTGAAAATTTCTTGCTATTGCACAATACTTATTATATAATAATTTACACATCCTGTTTGGTGTGTATCTCCTACCATATCATTATTATTTGCTTTTAAATATAAATCAGAAATAACCAACTTAAAATGGAAAATTTTAAAAGAAAAAAAAAAGGAAAAAAAGAAAAAAAAAAAAAAAAAAAATCCCCCCCCCCAAATTTTTTGAACCCCCTTATGATTCATCACCCCCAAACTCAATCCCAGCCTTCCCTTTGTGGTATGGTACCTTGCAGTACAATTTCAGAGAGATCCATACACTTGAACACAAGTTATTGTCTGGAAACTAGAAAAATGCTTATTTTTGGCCCCTTTTTGGCCCCCAATTCCTAAACGTTTCGGGCAATTACCCCCAAACTCAATTCCAGCTTTCCCTTTGTGATATGGAACCTTGTAGTACAATTTCAGAAATATCCAAACACTTACACACAAGTTATTGTCATGAAACTAGAAAAATGCTTGTTTTTTGCCCCTTTTTTGGCCCCTAATTCCTAAAATTTTGAGGCAATTACCCCCAAAATCAATTACAGCCTTCCCTTTGTGATATGGAACCTTGTGGTACAATGTCAGAGAGATCCATACACTTACACACAAGTTATTGTCTGAAAGTTACAAAAATGCTTATTTTTGGCCCCTAATTCCTTAACTGTTGGTACCATAACCCCCAAAATCAATCCCAACCTTCCTTTTGTGGTATTGAACCTTATGGTGAAATTTCATGGAGATCCATTCACTTAAACTAAAGTTAGAGTGCGAAAACCAATGTGTCTTCGGACGACGCCGGACGACGACGACGACGACGACGACGACGACGACGACGACGCCAACGTCATACCAATATACGACCAAAAAATTTTTAATTTTTGCGGTCGTATAAAAAGTGTGGAAAACTGATTTGCAAGACTGATGGATGGACAGACTGACAGACAGACAGACGGACGGAGTATAAACCTAAAGTCCTTATCGACTTCGTCGGAAGGGGACTAATAAGAAGATGAGGTATGATTGCCAATGAGACAACTATCCACCAAAGTTCAAATAAAGTGGATGTAAGCAATTATAGGCAACCATACGGCCTTCAACAATGCGAATAAAATACTTCGCTGAGCGCAGCTGGATACGACCACAGAGGTCCAACCCTGAACAGTTGGGGCAAAAAAGGACACAATATTCACGCTTGATACAGGTCTGAATTTGGATTGTAATAAAATATTTGACACATAATAGGTTTCTGACACCGAATAACTGTAGTCAAAGAACTTAGAATTGGTTATATGATTTGAATTTATATTCAATTTTTTGCTTTTGAGAAATACACTATGCTGTTGCGTATTGACCCCCCCCCCCCCCCCCCCCCCCCCCCCCTCCCCCTTTTTTTTGCAAAAAGAAATAATATTTGAAGAAATTTTCTTTTTAATTTCTGAAACCCCCCCCCCCCTTTTCCTTCCCTCAAGATATGGTCATAATCTCAATTCAAATTTTCAATGGAGTTTGCAACCATAATTACCAATTTAAATACATCATAAAAGTCTTAAAATAGAAAAAAAAAATCCCCCCCCCAAAATTTTGGAACCCCCTTATGATTCATCACCCCCAAACTCAATCCCAGCCTTCCTTTTGTGGTATGGTACCTTGCAGTACAATTTCAGAGAGATCCATACACTTGAACACAAGTTATTGTCTGGAAACTAGAAAAATGCTTGTTTTTTGCCCCTTTTTGGCCCCAAATTCCTTAACGTTTAAGGCAATTACCCCCAAACTCAAACCCAGCTTTCCCTTTGTGATATGGAACCTTGTAGTACAATTTCATAAAGATCCATACACTTACACACAAGTTATTGTCCTGAAACTAGAAAAATGCTTGTTTTTTGCCCCTTTTTGGCCCCTAATTCCTAAATTTTTTTGGCAATTACCCCCAAAATCCATCCCAGCCTTCCCTTTGTGGTATGGTACCTTGCAGTACAATTTCAGAGAGATCCATACACTTGAACACAAGTTATTGTCTGGAAACTAGAATAAACTGTTATCACAGAGATATGTCTTGCCTTTTTGTAATTTTTATTATGCAAATGTTGAAATTAAATTAGCAATACTTTAACATTAGTATTGCAAATATTCAAAGTCAATGAACCATGACTGAGGTACCTGGATGAACAATCTCCATGTAAATGAGATGTGCCAATGCTAATAAAACTGCATACCAAATACCATTGACTTATTAAAAGTCGTTATCTTTAAACAAACCTAAACACAAACGTTAACTTGTAAACTATGTAAAAGTTTCAAAGTCAATGAACAATAATAAGGGGATGGGGTTATATAATCTCCATGGAAATGAAACTTGCAAATGCCAATACATTTGCATACCGAATATCATTGACTTAACATTTGTGGTTCATCTTAAACTGACATAATCACAAACTAATACATGTAAACTAAGCAAAAGTTTCAAAGTCAATAGACCATGACTGAGGGGTAAGGACCAAATATTCTCCATGGAAATGAGATGTGCTAATGCTTATACAACTGCATACCAATTATCATTGACATACCACTAACAGTTCCCCTTAAACTGACCTAGTCACAAACTACTACATAAAAACTAAGCAAAAGTTTCAAATTCAATAGACCATGAATGAGGGGGCGGGGCCAAATAATCTCCATGGAAATGAGATTTGCCAATGCTTATACAACTGCATACCAAAAATCATTGACCTACCACTAGTGGTTCCCCATAAACTGACCTAATCACAAACTAAAACATGTAAACTAAGCAAAGTTTCAAAGTCAATAGACCTTGACTGAGGGGGCGGGGCCAAATAATCTCCATGGTAATGAGATGTGCAAATGCTAATACAACTGCATACCAAATATCATTGACCTACCACTAGTGGTTCACCATGAATTAGACCTAATCACAAACTAATACATTGTTGACACCGCCGCCGCCGGAAACAGCATACCTAAGTCTCGCTTTTTGACTCCGTCAGGGCGAGACAAAAATGCTTATTTTTGGCCTCTTTTTGGCCCCTTATTCCTAAACATTTTAGGTAATTACCCCCAAACTCAATTCCAGCTTTCCCTTTGTGATATGGAACCTTGTAGTACAACTTTAGAAAGATCCATACACTTACACACAAGTTATTGTCATGAAACTAGAAAAATGCTTGTTTTTTGCCCCTTTTTGGCCCCTAATTCCTAAAATTTTGAGGCAATTACCCCCAAAATCAATCCCAGCATTCCTTTTGTGGTATTGAACCTTAAAATTTCATAGAGATCCATTCACTTAAACTAAAGATATTGTGCGAAAACCAATGTGTCTTCGGACAACGATGACGAAAACGACATCAACTACGACATGTGTAATAGCACAACATAAGAACAAACTATTAACATGTTTTATTCATACCAAATACTTATTTATGCATTATTACTTTATAAAGTACTGTAAATTCAGAAATTATTGTGTGCATTTTTTATTGTCAAATCAGAAATTTATCAAAAAAACTAAAGGGAGGTTATTTTAATAGATATAAACCAGTCACCAAAGTTTCATGAAAAATGCTCAAAGCACTTTTGAGTTATTGTCTAAAAATTGGAAATCCCCCTTTTTTTATGAATAAAATCCCATAACTCGGAAACGTAAAATCTAAAATTTATAAAAATCAAAAGGGAGCTTAAGTCAATATATATAAACAATTCATCAAAGTTTCATGAAAACTGCTCAAAGCATTTTTTGAGTTATTGTCCGAAAACTGGAAAATTTTAATGAATAAAACCCCGTAACTCGGAAACGTAAAATCTAAAATTTATAAAAATCGAAAGGGAGCTCACGTCTATAGATATAAACAAATCACCAAAGTTTCATGCAAATTGGTTACAGCGTTATTAAGTTATTGGCTGACATGTAGATGATGGACAGATAGACGGACACACGGACGGACGGACCACGGTAACCATAATAATCCTGTAAACGCGCGTATAAAAATTCAATATCTTTTTAAATTTTTCAAAATTTTACGTTTTTCCATCCTCCAAATAATTTTTTCAACGTATACTACCTTTTATAGCCGACTAAACAGTATGAATTTTTCTCATTGTTGAAGGCTGTATGTACGGTGAATTTCCTATAATTGCTTACATCCACCTTATTTGAACTCTGGTGGAAATTTGTCTCATTGGCAATTATCTATATAGCAGGTAGATTTGTTGAAGATCTGTTCTTGACTAAAATTGTAAAATTTTGTAGAATGCACTTAAAAAATAATTTTATAAACTCAACAACGCTCAAGTATATTCGAAGGTAAATTATGCTTCATTTTTGTTATATTTACAATTAGGGTAGTAAGGTTAAAAAAACATACTTTTCATGAAATTTTGTATAAATGAATCAATCATAATCCTTTAATTCAGAAAAAGTATGTTATTTTTAAACTAGAGGCTCTAAATGTGTCGCTCACCTGCATCTTCCACAATGGCCACTTTTTAGTTTAATCATCATTAGCTGAGAATGACTCTATTAAGAGTTAACTGACAATTTCAGTCATGTTAACATATTTGTAGATCTCATTTTGCTGATCATATTTTTGTTCAAAAATTCTATTTATTTATTGAAGTTTTCAAGATAAAAGGCAAAAATGGATACGACCGCAGAGGTTCAACCCTGAACAGTTGGGGCAAAAATGGACACAATATTCAAGCTTGATACAGGTCTGAATTTGGATTGTATTTAATATTTGACACATTATAGGTTTCTGACACAAAAATAAATGTAGTCAAAGAACTTGAAATTGGTTATATGATTTGAATTTATATTCAATTAAAGATTTCTTGCTGTTGTGCAATACACTGTGCTATTGCGCAATTAACTTAGTAAATCTGTTTTCAGACAAGGAATTAGCAAAATAAATTGTGACCCCCAATTTTTTTTTTTTTTGGAAAATTGATAATTTCTTAAATCTTGAGGAAAAAAAATTGAACCCCCCAAAAAAATTTTTAATATTATATTTTTGGCCCCTTTTTGGCCCCAAATTCCGAAACGTTTAGGGCAATTACCCCCAAACTCAAACCCAGCTTTCCCTTTGTGATATGGAACCTTGCAGTACAATTTCATAAAGATCCATACACTTACACACAAGTTATTGTCCTGAAACTAGAAAAATGCTTGTTTTTTTGCCCTTTTATGGCCCCTTATTACTAAAATTTTGAAGGAATTACCCCCAAAATCAATCCCAGCCTTCCCTTTGTGGTATGGTAGGTTGCAGTACAATTTCAGAGAGATCCATACATTTGAACACAAGTTATTGTCTGGAAACTAGAAAAATGCTTATTTTTGGCCCCTTTTTGGCCCCTTATTCCTAAACGTTTAGGGCAATTACCCCTAAACTCAATTCCAGCTTTCCCTTTGTGATATGGAACCTTGTAGTACAATTTCATAACGATCCGTACAATTACACACAAGTTATTGTCATGAAACTAGAAAAATACTTGTTTTTTGCCCCTTTTTGGCCCCTAATTCCTAAAATTTGAGGCAATTACCCCCAAAATCAATCCCAGCATTCCCTTTGTGATATGGAACCTTGTGGTACAATGTCAGAGAGATCCATACACTTATACACAAGTTATGTCTGGAAGTTACAAAAATGCTTATTTTTGGCCCCTAATTCCTTAACTGTGGGTACCATAACCCCCAAAATCAATCCCCACCTTCCTTTTGTGGTATTGCACCTTATGGTAAAATTTCATTGAGATCCATTCACTTAAACTAAAGTTAGAGAGCGAAAACTAATGTGTCTTCGGACGACGACGACGACGCCAACGTCATACCAATATACGACCACAAAATTTTTTTTGCGGTCGTATAAAAACTAGAGGCTCTAATGAGCCTGTGTCGCTCAACTTGGTCTATGTGCATATTCAACAAAGGACACTCTCCAACATTGTAGACGAGAATAGAATTCATGACAAAAATCTTTTGTTGATCTTGTACTGCTGATCATTTAGTCTGTTTAGTTTCTTTCCATCTTCTTTAGTTTTTGCTCAAAACACAAAAGAGGGTAAAAAAATCCTAATTTAAGGGCAACCATTCCTATAAAGAGTGACAGTCTACTAACTATATCCGCAAAATTTGACTTGTTAGTAGATCTTGCCTTACTGATCATTTTTGTGATTTAAAGTGTCTACTTATCTATTATAATTTTTTTTATGTAAGGCAAAATGCAAAAAAATGATAAAAATCGTCATTAAAGAGCAATAACTCCATTAAGGAGTCTTCAGACGATTTCCTTCATATTGTATAAGTTGTAGATCTTGTCTTGCTGATCATTTTTGCTTATTTAAGTTTCTATCTATCTATAATAACTCTAATAAGGAGTCAACTGACGATTTCGACCATGGAACTTATTTGTAGAACTTGTTTTGCTAATCATTTTTGTAATCTAAAGTTTCGCCCTATCTATTATAGTTTTCAAGATAATAGGCAAAAATGTGCTTCGCCGAGCACAGCTGGATACAACCGCAGAGGTCCAACCCTGAACAGTTTGGGCAAAAATAGACACAATATTCAAGTTTGATACAGGTCTGAATTTGGATTGTAATTAAATATTTGACACATTATAGGTTTCTGACACAGAATAAATGTAGTCAAAGAACTTGAAATTGGTTATATGATTTCAATTTATATTCAATTGAAGATTTCTTGCTGTTGTGCAATACACTGTGTTGTTGCGCAATACTTAGTAAATTTGTTTTCAGACTATATACAAAGAATTAGCAAAATAAATTGTGACCCCCAATTTTTTTTTTGGAAAATAGATAATTTCTTAAATCTTGAGGAAAAAAAATTGACTTCCCCCACCTTTCCAAAAAAAAAATATTTGAAGAAATTTTCTTTTTGGAAAATGTGGTACAATTTAAGAGACATCCATACACTTAAACACAAGTTATTGTCTGAAAACTATAAAAATGCTTGTTTTGGCCCCTAATTCCTTAACGGTTTGGGCAATTACCCCCAAACTGAATCCCAACCTTCTACTTGTGATATTGAACCTTGTGGTACAATTTCAGAGCAATCAAAATACTTAAACACAAGTTATTGTCCTGAAACTAGAAAAATGCTTGTTTTGGGCCCCTTTTTGGCCCCTAATTCCTAAACGGTTGGGACCATCACCCCCAAAAACAATCCCAACCTTCTTTTTGTGGTATTGAACCTTTTGATTAAATTTCATAGAGATACATATACTTCAACTAAAGTTATTTTCCGGAAACCAAATGTCTTCGGACGACGATGACGTGATAGTAATATACGAACGCATATAATTTTTTGCGGTCGTATATAAGTGAAAATAAATGGTAAAATTTGTCACTTAAGGGCAATAACTCCTATAAGAAGTCGTCTGACAGTTTTGACGTATATGAACAATTGGTAGAGCTCAACATTCTGAACATTTTTGCCCATGTCAGTCAGCTTTTCTCTATTTATAACGGTTTTCAAAATAATAGACAAAACTTGCATTTTACCCCTATGTTCTATTTATAGCCATGTCGGCCATCTTGGTTGGCCGACGGGGTCATCAGACACATTTTTAAAACTAGATACCCCAATGATGATTGTGGCCAAGTTTGGTTAAATTTGGCCCTGTAGTTTCTGAGGAGATTTTTGTAAAAGTAAGACGACGGACGCCAAGTGATGAAAAAAGCTCACTTGGCCCTTTCGGCCAGGTGAGCTAAAAAGATAAAATTTGTCATTTAAGGGTAATAAATCCTATAATAAAGAGCTGTGCCATGAGCGCATGATACACCAGTTGCTTTTTCAAAGCACAAAGTTCCATAACTCCTAAATGTCATATCAGATATTTATAATCAAAGCTGTTAAAGCAATTGCTGCCTAGTAAATGTTTTTGTGACTTTTATTTTTCATCCACATGTAAAAGAATTAAACCTGACAGGAGTCTTATCTAGTGAGAAGTTAGGATGTTTAACTTTATATCAATGAAAGACTTATCCAGCAGAAAGTAATATTTACAATGTTTTACATTTCCCAGGGGGACAACACATTTACCCGGCTTACGGTGGAGGCATATATATTTGCGGAAACGTATAACTCCCGAAAAAATCATAATAGATTATCCCCTTGTAGAGTGTTTGTTACTGGGCAATTATTCACATAAATAATCCGTGCACCTGGCTTCATTATCTTTATTGCTTTTATTTTAATTTTAATGATATCATAACTGGTTTCCAAGTTAATCGATTAACCATTCAATTGATGATTTCAACTTTCGTGACGAGAGTGTTCTACCGAACTATAGTTTTTTATTATAAGAATCATTCATTCATACATACCGATTAAAGATTTGAAGATGGGACGGCTTCTGAAATTTTCATGAAATGCATGTTAACTGTCGATTAACCTGGAAACCGGCTTACGCTTTACCCCTTTCATTACTAATGACATAATCACATAAAAAAATTAACGCAATGGATTTTAAAGTAAAGAAATTTTCAGTTAAAAGTTTCATGAAGTCATCGTCAATACGCTTGATGATTTTCTGCATGGTCAATGCTAGTAAGATCTATTTTAAACCATCCAATGAAAATAGGCTGATCACGCATTACACAAAACCAGAGACATGACAAAACATTATAAAAGTAAATAAAAAGATTATTTGGGTTTAACATACGACAAACAGAAACACTCTTTCAGTTAAATGTTTTTGATTTTTAAAACTTCAGAATATAAAACACAAAACATTTTAATTCCCGAGAATTACAGGTTATCATTTTCAATTGCAAAGAGGGTCATTATGAAATTTGACACTGTCTCGAGAAGTAACCTTGATCAGTTGATCATTATATCATTTGTTTACATAGTGGTGTCTATCAGTATCAATCAGCGATTAAGAAAACCCTTAATAAATAACAGGGCCCATAATTTCAAGGAAGTATTACCAACATGGTAAGTGTAATCAGAACGCGTAAATTATGCTTCTTTTAATTTAAAACAAATAATGTGAGATAAGATTACATTACTATAACGTGCGTAGTGATTTTACAATAATTTTTTGAATGAACGATAATTATATGAATGAACAAGAGCAACTTCACCTCTTTAAAAAAGAAACACGAATTAAACAGCATAAAACAGTATAAGAGATAATTCAGTCAAATTTTCAATATTAAGTCAACAACTGACATGATTCGATATTTTGTTGAAACATCTCAAGAACAAAATCGCAGGTATAAAAATGCACTTTTTCACTCATGCAGACTTCTACATTCTTTGATAGTCAAACGGTTGTCCCCTTAAATACAGAAATACATCTACTAGAACATATGTTGAAACTTCACAAACCAACTGTTGTTTTTCAACTGTTTCAATTAATGTATTTCATTAGAAAACATGCATAGGATTTTTAAAATGACAGACGAGGAATCTGCTCAAAAACTTTGGCTTGATCTGGGTCACAAAGATGGCTATATGCCATAGCATTAAAGCAATTGCTTTAAAAAACTAAAGGGAGGTTATTTTAATAGATATAAACCAGTCACCAAAGTTTCATGAAAAATGCTCAAAGCACTTATTAGTTATTGTCCGAAAACTGGAAAATCCCCCCTTTTTTATGAATAAAATCCCATAACTTGGAAATGTAAAATCTAAAATTTAGAAAAATCGAAAGGGACCTTACGTCAATAGATTTGATTTGATTTTTGGTGTTTTAAGACCACTTTTAAGCACTGCTTTTGGGCTATTTCGTGGTAGCCAGTTTTTATTGGTGGAGGAAGCCGCAGTGCCCGGAGAAAACCACCGACCTTCGATAGGAAAACTGACAATCCTAGTCAATTAAGATTGGAGTCCAGTGCACCCGCACAAGCGGGGTTCGAACTCACAACCTCAGTGTTGACTGGCTAGTGATTACAGTAGTAACTACTTAGACCACTGGGCCACCGAGGCCCCTACGTCAATAGATATAAACAATTCACCAAAGTTTCATGAAAACTCTTAAAGCATTTTTGAGTTATTGTCCGAAAACTGGAAAATCCCCCTTTTTTAATGAATAAAACCCCATAACTCGGAAACGTAAAATCTAAAATTTATAAAAATCGAAAGGGAGCTCACGTCAATAGATATAAACAAATCACCAAAGTTTCATGCAAATTCGTTACAGTGTAATTGAGTTATTGTCCGACATGTAGATGACGGACAACGATATACCATAAAAGAGGGACAAAAGATACCAGAGGGACAGTCAAACTCATAGATCGAAAACAAACTGACAACGCCATGGCCAAAAATAAAAGGACAAACAGACAAATAATAGTACAGATGACACAACATAGAAAACTAAAGACTAAGCAACACGAACCCCACCAAAAACTGGGGGTGATCTCAGGTGCTCCGGAAGGGTAAGCAGATCCTGCTCCACATGTGGCACCCGTCGTGTTGCTTATGTAAATACAAATCAGATAAATAATCTAATTTGGTAGGTCACATTCGTGAAAAGGGAAGGGTATTGTAGTTACGACATAAGGAACATATCCGATATCATCAGTGAAACGGTTATTCCATAACGGTCAACCAACTTATGATGGCGTCCGTAAAATTTACGAAGGGATGATTTCAACTTCCCCATTTGGAACATAATACGTCCCGTAAAAAGGCATATAAAAATTCATTATCTTTTTTCATTTTTCAAAATTTTACGTTTTTCCTTCCTCCAAATAATTTTTACAACGTATTCTACCTTTTATAGTATGAATTTTTCTCATTGTTGAAGGCTGTACGGTGAATTTCCTATAATTGCTTAAATCCACCTTATTTGAACTCTGGTGGAAGTTTGTCTCATTGGCAATTATACCACATCCTTATTTCTATATAGCACGTAGATTTGTTGAAGATCTGCTAGCTGTTCTTGACTAAAAATGTAAAATTTTGTAGAATACACTTAAAAAATAATTTTATAAACTCAACAACGCTCAAGTATATTCGAAGGTAAATTATGCTTTATTTTTGTTTTATTTACAATTAGGGTAGTAAGGTTAAAAAAACATACTTTTCATGAAATTCTGTATAAAATGACTCAGTCATAATCCTTTAATTCAGAAAAAGTATGTTATTTTTAAACTAGAGGCTCTTAAGAGCCTGTGTCGCTCACCTGAAGCTTCCACAATGGCCACTTTTAAGTTTAATCATCATTAGCTGGGAATGACTCTATTAAGAGTTAACTGACAATTTCAGTCATGTTAACATATTTGTAGATCTCATTTTTGCTAATTTTTTTTGTTCATAAATTCTATTCATTTATTGAAGTTTTCAAGATAAAAGGCAAAAATCACCAAAAAAATGGTAAAAATTATCATTAAAGGGCAATAACTCCAATAATAAGTTGACTGAAGATTTTGGCCTTGACGGCTTATTTTTAGATCTTGTCTTGCTGATAATTTTTATGCAAATTGGTTAAAGCATTTTTGAGTTATTATCCGATATGTTGACGACGGACCGACAGACGGACTGACAGACGGACAGACGGACAGACCGACAATGGTATACCATAATACGTCCAGTAAATCGGCATATAAAAAGCCGTCTGACAGTTCTGACTTACATGGCCGGATAAATAGGTAGAGCTCAACATTTTGAACATTTCTGCCAGTCAGTCTATTTATAGAGGTTTTTCAAATAGGACAAAACTTGCATTTTACCCTAATGTTCTATTTTTAGCCATGACTGCCGTCTTGGTTTGCAGGCCGGGTCATGGGACACATTCTTTTAACTAGATACCCAATGATGATTGTGGGCAAGTTTAGTTTAGTCAAATGAGTTTTGTTAAAATATACTTTTTCACTTTTTTGGTCTTTTGGAAAATGTTGTTTGTGCTGTATTTAGACCCCTCTACCAAGAAATTTGTTTTGCATGCACACGTATAAAAATTGCGGTTTTTATCCAACGCAATCATAGGTTTGAACGTTGTTTTCAATTTAGACTTGTTTATATTTTTTCGTTTGGGCTTGTATTATATTTGCCTTCGGGTTTATATGATCCGTTCATCCTATTTTGACTCTTCAAAATTCAAGAGTCTATCCTGAATTGAGGTAAAATATATGGCCTTCCAAATACTGTTTCGATTCCTAACATCACTGTAGAGACATTAATTGTCGAAATCCGGATATGGTGAACTAATTTTTACACCTTTTGTTTGCGGTATACCATCTTTTCCACAAGTTTATTGTTTTCTGTTTGGTATTAAATTAACAGTTAAGATCCATTTTGTTACATCTGGTGATCGGTTTATTTGGCAATCGCCAATGGCAGTCAGCAGGGTTTAAGAACATCCGTTGTTCGACCTGCTAGTCAAATGCATTTTGTTAAAATATACTTTTTCACTTTTTTGGTCTTTTGGAAAATGTTGTTTGTGCTGTATTTAGACCCCTCTACCAAGAAATTTGTTTTGCATGCACATGTATAAAAATTGCGGTTTTTATCCAACGCAATCATAGGTTTGAACTTTGTTTTCAATTAAGACTTGTTTATATATATATATAGAATTCAGAAAACTAATTTATACAGAATAACAAACAATCCTAAGACAAAGTTCTTCAAAAAACTTACTTAAAAAAATGAAAAAAACAATTTCCAAAATATCATTCCTCATTAATACAATGTCTTTAAAAAATCTTTAAAACTTACCGGTACCTGTAATTATTTTCCAAAAAATCTAGTAATGAACAGTAATGTATACATAATTTCTTCTCTAAAATTAGATTTGATGCTGTATCTATTTTTAACTATGAATCTTTTTACAATTTCTATTAATTGTGCAATACAGCTCTGAATTTGGATTGTGATTAAATATTTGACATAGCATAGTTTCTGACACAGAATGAATGTGGTTGAAGAACTTAAAAATTTGAAATTGGACTTTTACCTTTTATGGTCCAATATCCAAAACGTAAATACATTGTTAGAT